TGTTTCCCTCTATCTGGGTTTCTGTCCTCCTCTCCCTGGGTCTCTGCCACCTCTCCTTTGGTCTCTGTTTCTCTCTTCACTATCTCTGCCCCTTTCTCTGCACCTCTGTCCCCACCCCCAAAGGTTCCATCTCTCTTTGTCTAAGGGCCATCCCTGAAGACACTAAAACTCATCTCATCTGACCCCACCCAGCCCACTGCACTCCTGCCTCAAGCCTGGCCTCCTGCGCCGGCTAGCAGGAGCCCTGGAGCAATGGAGTGGGGCCACAACACTGTACTCTGTGCAAGGGACAAGTGGGGAACTGGGGGCACCCCTTAGTAGCACAGGGACTGAAGGAGGTCTGCTGCAAGTACCCCTTCCTCAGGCCTGGACCCTTAATCTCTGTCCCTCAGGTCCTGAGCTGGTGGACATATGAGATCCAGGGAGGGAGAAGACTGAATTTCTGGGGACCCTTCCCCCCAACTGTGGAGGAGGACAGCACTTGTGTGTGTGTGAAGGGGCGGGGTTGTGCCTGGGCGTGTGTCTGGGGGTGTTACATGCCTGCTCCTAGATTCCACTGGAGGGGGAGTTGTGCATACATGTGTGTGTACACCCCATAAGGTTGTGGGTCTTTGAATCATGTGTTTCCATTGTGGGTCCACGTGTCACTGGATTGCAGAAGTCCCTGGTGTGTTCTTGAGCCGTATGGTCAGAAGGCGTCACACTGTGCCTGGGTCTTATGAGCTATGTGTAGAAATGTGCAAAAACAAACATGGTTGTGTGTCCAAATGGAGCCATCTATGTGAGTGTGTCTGTGCTTATATGTTAGTTTCCTGGAACTGCTGAGACAAAGTACCACTAAGTGAGCGGCTTCAAACCTCAGAAATATCTTCTCTCACATTGCTAGAGGCTGTTGCTATTGTAGTTGTTTACTGCCACTTCCCAGCAACCCTCACATACAACACACTGGATCACTGCCCATTCTTACCCTAGCTAATGATCTCTGATACGTTTCCACTGTTGCAGACATTGAGTCGATCTGTCTCCTTTCCCATCAATTCGCCCTCATTTCCGTGGACTCGCTGCTTTACCAACCATGAAGTCTTCCTCTAGCGATGGGTCTTTCCTGAGGATGGATCCAAACAAAGTAAATAAATTGCTGTCTTGCCATTCTCGCTTCTAAGAAGTATTCTGGCTGTATTTCTTCCAAGACTAATTTGTTCATTCTCCTGGCAGGCCAAAGTTTATTCAATATTCTTTGCCAGTGTGGCAATTCCAATACATTGATTCTTCTTCTGTCTTCTATGTATTTGGTGCCCACTTTTTGCATGCATGTGAGGTGAAGGGTCTGGGCTTCGGTCTAGGCACTGAAGGTTCACAATCAGGGAGCCTGAATGCCGATTCCTTCTGAGGGATCTAAGTGAGAATCTATTCCATGCCTCTCTTAGCTTCTGCTGATGGCCAACAATCCTTGGCAGTCTTTGCTTGTAGCTGCATCACTCCGGCCTCTAGCCCCATCTGCACATGGCCACATCCTCTGTGTTTCTGGGATTGGGTCTCTTTTCCTTTTGTATAAGGACATCAGTGGCATAGTGGATTACGTCTTAGGATGCTAACTCCACGGTCAGTGTGGTTCATGGGAGAAAGATGGAACTATCTGCTCCCGCAAGGATTTTGCAACCTGCCTGTAAAATGAGTCGGAATTGACTCAACAGCACACAACAATGACATGACATATAGGATTTGGAGTACTGGTGTGACACTGTAGGATAAGCACTAGACTGAGAACTACAATATCAGCGGTTCAAACCCACCAGCCACTCCTCGGAAACCCTATCTAGGCCGCTATGAGTTAGAACCAACTCAATGACAATTAACAACATCAGGATAACAGAGTCTTGGTGTGGCGCTGTAAGATAAGCACTCAACTGCTAACCACAAAGTGGGCAGTTCAAACCCACAAGCTGCTCCTTGGAAACTCTAGACAAGATCGCTCTGAATCAGAACAAATTCAACAGTTCTTGACAACAACAACAACAACAACAACAAAAGGCCTCAGTAGAAACTGCTAATCTAGTCCAGAAAGCCCGGAGACTTCCAGTGTGGCTCCCCAGTGAACAAAACTCGGGGATAGAACCCAGTTTCTCATTTTAAGCTCAGTCCTCTTTCCACCCACAACTGTGCATTTCAGCCTAACTTTGGAGTCCTAGTGTGGCTCTGTAGGATCAGCACTGGACTGTTAACCACAAGGTTGTTGGTTCAAGTCTACCAACTACTCCTTGGAAACCCTATACAGGGTCGCTATGGGTCAGAATCAACTCAAATGCACTTAACAACAACAGCAACTTCAGTATGTGCCGGTCCTAATCCTATATGACTGGTGTTCTTATAAAAGAGACCCAGAAACACAGAGGGAATATGACCGTGTCAAGATGGAGTATGGGGGCCCTGGTGTGGAGCTGTAAGATGAACACAGGATTGTTTACCACAAGGTCGGCGGTTCAAACCCACCAGCCACTCTCGGAAACCCAAGGTGGCTATGAGTCAGAACCAGCTCTAATGCATTTAGCAACAACAACGCCAGTATTTGAGGGACCCTGGAGGCACAGTGGTTAAGTATCCAACTGACAACCAGAGGGTCTGTAGTTCAAGCCCACCAGCCGCTCTGCAGGACAAAGATGAGGCAGTGCGCTCCCATACAGATAAAGCCTTGAGAACACTGTGGGGCATCTCCACTCTGTCCTATGTCGTTTTCATTAAGGGCCATCGAGTTCCAGCTCAGAGTGACCCTGTGTAGGATTCCCGAGGAGTGGCTGGTGGATTTGAACCATCGACCTTGCAGTTTGCAGCCCAGTGCTTATCCTACTGCATCACACCAGGACTCCATACTCTGGTCTACATTGTTGTTGTTGTTGTAAGGTGCCATCGAGTCGGTACTGATTCATAGCGACCTTATGCACAACAGAACAAAACACTGCCCGGTCCTGTGCCAACCTCACAATCGTTGCTACGCTTAAAGCCATTGCTGCTGCCACTGAGCCCATCCATCTCATTGGGGGTCTTCCTCTTCTTTACCAAGCATGACGTCCTTCTTCAGGGACTGGTCCCTCCAGATCCTATGCCCAAAGTATGAGAGACCAAGTCTCCTGGCTTCTTTCTACAGAGTCACTCGAAATCAGAATCCACTAAATCAACAGCAATGGTTTGGATTTTCTGTTTTTGTTTTTAACTCCAGAGTGACTCATGTTAACTGAAAACATCTTCAAAGACCACATAGCCAAACAAGATCACATTTACAGGTGCTGGGATCAGGACACGTGTTGGGAAGAGGCTGCAGGTGTGTCTTTGTGTGTTGTGTGTTGTGTTTGGACCCTGTCTAGCTGTCCTGTGCTCTGTCATGGTGTGCCTATCAATAGTGTGTGTGTCCCTGGATTGTTCATTGTGAGGTAAGGGAAACACTCTTCCTGTATAGGCTTGTATTTAATAGGTCTCTTTGTCCCCTTCCCATCTATATGTGTGCCATGCTTCCAAAGGGGTGTGTGAGTGAGGTGGGGGCAAGGGGCAGGAGATCTGAGGTCCCTCCATCAGTAAGGGGACTGAATGTGTGTGCGTGTGTCTGAGAGCATCACTGAGTTTTGGGGGGTGCCACCGTGCCTTCCCCACAATAGCTGTGTCTCCTGGGTGTGCAATTGGAGGCGACCACAGAGCTCTATTAGCAAAGGGAGAAAGGGTAGACTTGGTACACAGAGTGGGGTGCAGGCTGGTGAAGGCTCCCCACAGCCTGATCCAGCTCCCCTGTGTCTATGGTTGGGCTCACAGATGGCACCCCTGGGTGAGTCTGCACAGGGCACCCCTGCACCCAGACGGATGCAGCCCCATTAGTGCATGCCTTGGGGAGGAGAGCCCAGTTGGATTTCTGCCCCTACTCAGCCTCTCGGCCAAATCCCTTTGTACAGTCTACAATCTGCCCAGCCGTAAGTGGGAGCCTTTAGTGAATGAAGGAATCGTATGGCCGCCTCTGAGAGTCACTTTGGCTGTGTGTGTGTACCCACATTTCTCATCGTGGGATAAAGGCTCCCATGTTCTTTGAGCGGTGGTGTCCACCCAGGAGCCTGAGTTCGAAGTCCAGCCATGTGGCTTGGGCTTGGGCACTTTGGAGCTTGCATACATGATGGGACCTCTTGGGATTTCTGTGTCTTCATCTGAAAAGTGTTTTTGTGTGTGTTTGAGAGAAAGAGAGGACCTGTCTTTCACATTTTGTTCTACATTCATCCTTGTAGTAAATATTTACTGAGCAGCTACTATGTGCCACGTAGTAATGCCAGGTGATGAGGCTACCACGCTAACCCAAACAAACATATCTACCTTCATGGGTTTTATAGGCTGGTAGATGCCCTCATCTGGGTATTCTAGAGAAACAAAACCAGCGAAGCTTACATGTGTTTATATATAAAGAGAGGTTTCTACCAAGGAAACCGTTCACACAGTGGGCAGGTCCCAAGTCCGCAGGTCAGATCTCAGGCTGGAGGCTTCTGACTCATATAGCTAGCTGCCCGGCTGGTGAGCCAAGATGGGCAGGTCAGGAGGCAGGCAGGCAGATCAGATGATTGGTTGCTGCTGACTCCCAGGACTGGCAGGCAACTGAGGCAGACAGCAGACACTCCAGACACAGCAGAAAAGCAAACAGGCTTTTCCCAAGTGTTCAGCATCCTGGAAGCAGGTCACACCTCCGAGGAAACATCCTTTCAATTGATTGGCTGTTCATAGTAGATCTCATCATAGAGGGTTACTATGTGTCTTAACTACCAAAGCACTGAGAATCTAGGCCCAGCTGATACAAAACCCTAACTCTCACAGTGGGGTAAGACAGATACATAATGTGTATGTTGTTGTATAGAGTTTCCAGTTCAAACGGACCTTGAGGTCGAGTGCTTATCCTATGGCGCCACGCCAGGACTCCATAATACGTATATATTATGTATAATGTGTGGCGTTGTACGATCAATACTGGATTTTAAACCACAAGGCTGACAGCTGCTCCTTGGAAACCCTATACAGGATAGCTGTGAGTCAGAACTGACTCAACAGCACTTAACAGCAATAACACACATATAGGGTAAGTAGAGGTTGGTGTCCTTGGCTACCATTGAGTCAGCCCCCTACTCCAGGGCAGTCTATGCATAACAGAAGAAAATGCTGCCAAGCCCATGAATGGTGGCAGTTCAGGCCACTGTGATCCATAGGGTTCTCATTGGCTAATGTTTGGAAGTGGCTCTCAAAGTCTAAAAGCTCTTCTGAAACCTGTCCAACGCGAACGCTTGAGATGCTTGGCATGTAGAAGGTGGCAGTAACCTTTTTTCTTTTTTAAACTGATTGAACCCATCTTCACACTGTGCTTGACCTTGAGGGCTTCTCTCAGGGTTGGGATTGTTAAATACTCAATTTCCAGAGGTGAAAGAGGCGGTATTTAGCTGAACTGCTCAGGCGATGGTTCCTAACCCACTCGGGGATTGGGTTCAGACCTCCTCCTCCATGAACCCTAAACTGGACATCCTCCCCACCTGACCCTCAACATCACTTCTGTCCTTCAGGGCTGGCATGTCTGGGACCAGGCCTGACTTCTGCCATTCAAACACCTAGATGACCCACCCCATCCAACCCCTGCTTCTAATTCTTTTCTGCACGGCCCTTTCTCATTATCCCGTCTTTCCACAAAAAACAACAGTAAATGCTGTTGTATGTAGCGCCTGCAACATGCCTAGCACTGTTCTAAACTCGTTACACATATGAACTCCTTTCACCCTCCCAAGCATGCAGTGGTGATGATGAGGACGCCCATTTTGCAGATGGGGAGCCTGAGGCACGGATGGGCTTATCTGATCAGAGCTTTCCAGTGTCAGGCAGCTGGCACACAGTGTCAATGGGAGATAATCCACTTCACTGTTTGGCCTCTTGAGCTGTGGCGGGAGAGCCTGGACCAGGTGTGGTCAGGTTGAGATGGGACAGTTGTTAAGAGAGTGTTATGTGAGTGTGTGAAAGAGACAGACAGTGAGGCAGAGAGACTCAAGATAACTGAGTATCTGGTCTGCAGATACAGAGAAAGAAATCAAACACTTGGGGGACCAAGGAGCATATAGATCTAAAGGAGTTGTTCTCAACTGGAGTCATTTGACAATGTCTGGAGATACTTTTCATTGTCATACTGGGGGTGGAGTGAGGGACACTGCTGGAACCTAGATCCCAGGGGTACTCCTCAGCACCTTACAGCGCACAGGCAGCCCCCCACCACAGAGACTGAGCTGGCCCTAAATGACAGCTGGGTCAAGGTTGAGAAACCGCGGTTTGTAAACACATTCTCAATTCACTGTCTTTCTGTCTCTCTTTCTCCTGCCCTTTCCCACCTCGTTATCTCTCCTTCCCAATCTCCTCCACTCCTCTGGTCTCACCCACCCCACATCTGTCTCCCTACATTCCCATCCCAACCTGCTCTGCATTGGGGCCTTGCCGCTCCCTGCCATCTGCAACCCCGCCCACCAATCAACCCCCCCAATCTGTCACGCCGCGTCTCTCCCCACCTTCTCCTGCGCTGGATCCTACTCATTTCCTCTCCCTCCATTTTTTTTTTTTCCTGTTCTCGTCTTTCCGTCTCTGTCTCCCTTATGTCTGCTCATTCCTCCCATGGCTCCATCCACATGCCCAATCCTTGCTCTTCATCCATCCCTCTTCGGCGTCCGTTTCCCGCGTGCACATCCTCTTCGCGTCTGGTCATCTTTCCACGTCGCGCTCCTGGCTGTCCGCCGCCCCACGGGACTGTCAACTTCGGGTCCCCTGCGCCCACCCTCCTGTCTCCTGCTCTACGCTTCTCTCCGTCTCTCCACCTCTCTGCCCGGCCGTCTCCCTCTCTGACCCTCTTTCCCGCTCCCTCTCCAACCTCTTCTCTCAGTCTGCCCCACAGCCTGGCGTTCCCGGCCGAACCCCCACCGCGCCCATGCCGGCCCGCCTGCTGCTCGGGACCCTGCTGCTCCTGGCCTCGGCGGTTGGCCCGGCCGGGGCGCGCCCGTCCAACACATCGAGCGCTGAGCCACCGGGCCCGCTGCCCGCCCTGCTGGCGCACCTGCGACGCCTGACCGGGGCGCTGACGGGCGGCGGCGGGGGCGCGGCCGGCCCGGGGTCCAACGGCACCAAGGGCAGCCCTGCGGGCAGCGCGGGCGCTGCAGCGCGGGCGCCCCCTCCCGCCGAGCTGTGCCACGGCTACTACGACGTCATGGGTCAGTACGACGCCACCTTCAACTGCAGCACTGGTTCCTACCGCTTCTGCTGCGGCACCTGCCACTACCGCTTCTGCTGCGAACACCGCCACATGCGCTTGGCGCAGGCCTCCTGCTCCAACTACGACACACCGCGCTGGGCCACCACGCCTCCGCCGCTGGCCGGGGGCGCTGGGGGCGCCGGGGGCGCAGGGGGAGGGCTCGGGCCCGGGCAGGCTGGCTGGCTGGAAGGAGGCCGAGCCGGGGGCGCTGGGGGGCGAGGGGGCGAGGGTCCCGGGGGCAGCACAGCCTACGTGGTGTGCGGCGTTATCAGCTTCGCCCTGGCCGTGGGCGTCGGCGCCAAAGTGGCCTTCAGCAAGGCGTCCGGTGCGCCCAGGGCGCACCGCGAGATCAACGTGCCTAGGTGAGTAAGCCCTCGGCCCGAGGGGAGGGCCCGGACCAGGGAGGTGGAGTCCAAAAGGGAAGGCGGGGCCACAGGGAGGAGGGGCGTGGCCTGATAAAGAGGCGTAAAGACTGAGGGCACCTCAGTCTCTGGGGTCTACCAATCTTTCTGAGCACCATACGTGGACCAGCAAGGACCTCTGACAAACTAGTGGTTACTAGTTGGGCTGCGGTACCGAGGGAGAAAGATGAGGCTTTCAGTTCCCGGTAAGGAAACCCTATATAAGGTCGCTGTGAGTCGGAACCGATTCCACAGCACATAACCACCACTCCCACCACCTTGTGGGTCAGCAGCTGGGAAAACAACAGTGAACAAAATCCTGGCTTGGGTTGCAATACCAGCTGTGCTACCTTCAAGCCCGTTGCTTAACCTCTCTGTGCCTCCGTTTCCTGTCTGTGAAATAGTACCAATAACAACCCGTTCAGACCGTGATGAAGATTAACTGAATTGATTCCGGTAATCCTGGCACATAGGTCGTTGTTGGGTGTCGTCCAATCCATTCAAACTCTGGGTGACCCCACATGACACAGTAGAACTGTCTTTTCTAGGCTGTGATCGTCTAACAACTTTTAAACAACAATCTTTATGGAGTGCCAGCTCTTTCTCCCATGGAGTTGCTGGGTGGGTTCGAACCACCAAACCTATGTGTTAGCAGCCAAGCACTTAGCTGTTGTGTCACCAGGATTCCTGGGCTCATGTTTAACAAGAACAACAAATATCGCTGAGATGGTTCCAACACATAGCAACCGTATGTGCAAATCCACTTGTACTTAATTGTGCTCATTTGGCACCTGTACATAGATCAAGAGGTATTCATGGGCATCAGGGCTGTACCCTTTCACTGTATTAATTTAATACGTATGCCGAGCAAGTAATCTAGGAAACTCAAGTACATGAAAAAGAATGCAGAATCAGGATTGAAGAAAGACTCATTAACAACCTCCAATATGCAGATGATACAACATTGCTCGCTCAAAGCAAAGGGGGCTTAAAGCCCTTACTGATGAAGATCAAAGACCACATTACAGTTCGTATGGATTACACCTCAACATAAAACAAAAATCCACGTAACTGTTCCTATAAGCAACGTCATGATAAACAATGAAAGGAATGAAGTTGTCAAGGATTTCCTTTTACTTGGATCCACATTCAGTGCCCAAGGGAGCCCATGGGAGTTCAGAAATCAAACAACGTGTTGCAATGGGTGGATCTACTGCAAAAAAAAAAACTCTTTAAAGTGTTCAAAGCTAAGGTGTCACTTTGAAGACTAAGATGCGCCTGACGCAAGCCACAGTATTTTCAATGCTTTTCATAATGCATGTGAAAGCTGAACAGTGAATAAGAAAGACTGAAGAACTGATGCCTTTGCGTTACAGACTGGTGAAGGATATTGACTCCCACAAGAACGAATAAGTCTCTATTGGAAGAAGTTCAGTCAGAATGTTTCTGGGAATAAGGATGGTGTGTGACTCTGTCTCACATACTTGGGGCATGTCATCGTGAAGGACCAGTCCCTGGAGAAAGACATCATGCTTAGTAGAGAGTCAGTGAAAAAGAAGACCCTCAAAGACATGGAGTGACACACAGTGACTGTGACAATGAGCTCACACAGAGCAGTAATTTTGAGGACCTCACAGGACCAGGCAGTATTTCATTCTGTACTACATGAAGTCACTGTGAATTGGAACCAACTCAATGGCATTTAGCAACGCTATACCTACGTGAAGAGGGCACCCTTTATTGTTACAGGAAAGATTGCAAAAGACACCGGGATGAACTCTTCCAGCTCAATTAAAGGCAGGACATCAGGGAAGAGGATAATGGGGACCCCAGAAAGGGCAGGGTCCAAAGAATGGGGAGACACGTAAGCAGAAGTCTTCAAGCAGGAGGTGTAGCCAGAAAAATCTTGGGGTTGGCAGGGCACAGATTATTGCTAGAGGTGCCGGACCAGCATGAAAGGACACTTTGAGTGAGAAGAGTGTTGTTGTGAAGTGCTGTCGGGTCGCTTCTGACCCATAGCAACCCTGTGTAGGGTTTCTGATGAGCGACTGGTAGGGTTGAACCACCGACCTTGCAGTTCAAATAACTTTGCAGTCTAGTCCATGAACCCACAGCGCCACACCAGAACTCATGGGGGGGAAGGGCGTGGTTAATTAATAGAGCCTGGCGGCTGGGGAAAGGGCAAGTCTGTGGTGAGTGGGCGTGCTCACGAAGAAGGCTTGGCCAGTGGGGATGGGATAGGGTCAGTGAGAAAGGATGTGACTGGTGTGAAACGCTGAATTGAGTGGACAGATTCTGCCAATGATGAGAGTAGGAAAGGGGGAAAGACCTATGGCACCCCTTCCCTGTTCCCTGACTATCCCCTCTGCCAATTCCAGGGCTCTAGTGGACATTCTGAGGCACCAGGCAGGGCCTGGGACCCGCCCTGACCGAACCAGAAGCAGCTCCCTGACTCCAGGGGCTGGAGGTCCTGACAGCATGGGCCCTAGGACACCCAAGAATCTGTACAACACCGTGAAGTCCTCCAATCTTGGTGAGTGACCACCTGCCAAGTCTCTGTCCCCACGCCAGCCCTCCTCCTCATGCCTTTCCTCAACCATGTCCCCATTCAACATCCACCATCCATGACTGGCCAGTTTCTGGGTAGGGCTGTCGGGGGATCCACAGTGACTCAGGTCTCCTCCCTCCTTACTGTACACCACCTGGGCCTAAGTCACGGGGGCCATGATGAATTACATTTTTGAGCTGGGTGTTGAAAGATGAGTGGGAAGTTTTAAGGCAGAGAAGAGAAAGGATTCGAGGCTACCTATCTTTTACATAAGTTTACCACCATATCAGCTTAAAAATCAAGCCAAGCTCATTCATCTTGTCTGGAACTCATGAGGGTTGTTATTGTTGGTAAGTGTGGTCGAATCGGTTTCCGAGGAGTGAATGGTGAGCTTGAACCGCCAACCTTTTGGTTCAAACCAGCTTTGCAGTCCAGCACACTAACCCACAGTGCCACACCAGGACTCCACGATGGTACTACATGAAATGACAACGGCACCTTCCTGGCTTTCACTGTGGAAAATTGGCCTCTGATGGGGTCAAAGTCACTGTGCTTTCCAAGTTCCTCTTTCAGCAAAGGGCCTTGGTGGCCCAGCGGGTTAAGCGTTGGGCAGCTAACGGAAAGGTTAGCAGTTTGAATCCCCCAGTTGCTTCTCGGGAGAATTATGAGGCTGTCTGTCTCCGTCAGTATTTACAGCCTTGGAAACCCTAGCGGCCAGTCTAGTCTGTCCTATAGGACCAGTGTGATTTAGAATGGACTCCGTAGCAGGGCGTTTGGGTCTGGTATGGGGCTGTGTGATCATGCTGTGCGGAGTGTTGAAAATCAAATCCACAGCCATCGAGTGGGTTCTGACCCACAGCAAAGAGGCCCTAGAGGACAGAGCCAAACAACCCATAAGGTTTCGGATTCTGTAAATCTTTGTAGGAACAGACAGCTTCATCGGAGCAGCCAATGGGTTTGAACTACTCACCCTTCTGTTAGCAGCCCAATGTTAACCCACTGTGCCCCAAGGGCTCCTTCCTCCACTTGTTGTTAAGTGCCATCAAGTCAGTTCTGACTCACAGAGACCCTGTATAGGATTTCTGAGGAGCGGCTGGTAGATTTTAACTGCCGACCTTATGGTTCCAACTACCCTTGTGGTCTAGTGCATTACCCTGTAGTACCACACCAAGACACGCTGACTCATGGAGGCTCTCTAATGGGAAACCATTTGTTTTAATTGCTGAATTGGTCGCTCACAGCTGCTGATAGAAACTGCTCAGTGGCACTGCTCTTCAAGTAGTGGCCAGACCATGTGCCATACCTTAGATACACCTCTGACTGCACCATTAGCTCGGGCCATTATGCAAGCCCCAAATGCTGCCCCTAGCTTAGACATTGTCCTAATGATGGTGAACCATGAGGAAGGCCTTTAGAAGCAGAGAAGCAGGGACAGTTATGGAGTTGGTCTTGGAGATGACCTGGCTGAGTGACCTGAACACTGGGTTGATAATCCAGGAGGAAGAAGTTACAATAAGAGGAAGGATGAGGGGAGGTTGCAGAAGTTGGCTTAAGGCAGAGAGATTCAGGAAAAAGGAGGGACCGGGGCTGGGACCTAAGTGGCTGTGATGGACAGAGGTGCTAAGAAGACTCCCAGGTGTTCCAGGTGTTGGGGGGCTAGTGAAGAGGGAACCAAGTCCACCATTGCCAGCCCTGAGCTGTGGATCACACTCTTCACCTCAGATTCGCCTGTGTGCCCAGTGGCATTGCTAAGGTCCTGGATGTGGGGTCAGTGGGGAGTGGGCAATGGCTGTAATGCCTCTTCCCTTCTTGGCCTCACAGATAACCTGCACCACAACTACCTGCACCTCAATGTCAACAGTCCCAAGCACCACGCTGCCACGCTGGGTATGCACAGATGGACCCGGGCCCCGAGCTTCTGGGAGGGCCAGGTTGCTGCTCCCCTCACGCCCTTTCATTGAGCACCTGTTGGGGGCCAAGCCACTGATGTCAGCTTTGTCCTCATGGGGTTTACAGTTCACCACGTGATCCTGTCTCCTCATTTGCACATCAGAAATGGTCTTCTCCCACCCACCTGGGATGGTGGCACAATATGTGGGCTACACGCCCCAGGAGGGCTGGGCACACAGAGATTACCCAATAAGGCCGGTTAGCCCTCTTCCTTGCAACACTGCCTGTGCCCCACTAAGCCTGTCCACTGAGGAATGGCGAGTATGCACAGGGACTGTGTTTCCAGAGTTCTCACTGTCCAAGGGGCAGCGGGCTGGGCTGCTGGGCTGAGCGTGGTGGGGCTGGGGGTCGGGACTCCTGGGTCCGAGGGAGGAGAATCTGGGGGTCAGGACTCCTGGATCTGAGGGAGGAGACTGGGGGTAGGGACTCCTGGGTCCGAAGGAGGAGGGGCTGGGGGTCAGGACTCCTGAGTCCGAGGGAGGAGGGGCTGGGGGTCAGGACTCCTGGGTCTGAGGGAGGAGGGGCTGGGGGTCAGGACTCCTGGGTCTGAGGGAGGAGGGGCTGGGGGTCAGGACTCCTGAGTCCGAGGGAGGAGGGGCTGGGGGTCAGGACTCCTGGGTCCGAGGGAGGAGGGGCTGGGCTGCTGGGCTGAGCGAGGAGGGGCTGGGGGTCGGGACTCCTGGGTCCGAGGGAGGAGAATCTGGGGGTCAGGACTCCCGGGTCCGAGGGAGGAGGGACTCGGGGTCAGGACTCCCGGGTCCGAGGGAGGAGGGGCTGGGGGTCAGGACTCCCGGGTCCGAGGGAGGAGGGGCTGGGGGTCAGGACTCCTGGGTCCGAGGGAGGAGGGGCTGGGGGTCAGGACTCCCGGGTCCGAGGGAGGAGGGACTAGGGGGTCAGGACTCCCGGGTCTGAGGGAGAAGGATCTGGGGGTCAGGACTCCCGGGACTGAGCGAGGAGGGGCTGGGGGTCGGGACTCCTGAGTCCGAGGGAGGAGGGGCTGGGGGTCAGGACTCCCGGGTCCGAGGGAGGAGGGACTAGGGGGTCAGGACTCCCGGGACTGAGGGAGGAGGGACTAGGGGGTCAGGACTCCCGGGTCTGAGGGAGAAGGATCTGGGGGTCAGGACTCCCGGGACTGAGGGAGGAGGGACTGGGGGTTCAGGACTCCTGGGTCTGAGGGCTGGGGGTCTAAGGGTCAGGACTCCTGGATCCTGAGGGAGGAGGCCTGGGGGCCTGGACGCCTGGGTCTGGAGGAGGAGGAAGGGCTGGGAGCTGTGGGTCTGAAGCACTTGGGTCAGGGAGGCTGAACTCCGGGTCTGAGAAAGGGGCGTGGATTCAGTGCGGCTCCGCCCCCTGCTGCAGACTGGCGAGCCGTGCCGCCGCCCAGCCCCTCTTTGCACTACTCCACGCTCTCCTGCTCTCGGTCCTTTCACAACCTCGCGCATCTACCCCCGTCTTACGAGGCCGCGGTCAAGTCGGAACTCAACCGCTACTCTTCCCTCAAGAGGCTGGGTAAGTCCTGGGAGGGAGAGCAGGGCGAGGGGATGAGGCTGAGTCAGCCACACGTTGTGTAGGACTCCTAATGGTTTAGATTCCACCCCCACCTAGGTGTTCTCCAAATGTATCCAGAATTACCTGGAGGAGAGGGGGACCTTGCTTAAAAATGCAGTCTTGCTCTCCCCAGGCCTTTCTTCCTCATCACTTGTACCAGCTACCTCAGGGAGATATGTTCCAGACCATCTCAGTAAACCTCAGTGCATATAAAGGTTACGTGTGCACTGCTCTGTCATCCATAAACTGTGCATGATGAAGAAGTTTTCAATGTTGTCAGGATGACCACACTATGACCCAGAGGTGCAAACTCTGCACACGACGTTGGGAAAAGACAGGGTTGCCACAAACCTTCAGATTGGTTTTAAAAAAGAAAGAAACACAGTTCCAGAGATCTGGGAAAATTCCGTTATCTTTTCATTCCATTATTCCGCAAACTTTTTGAGTGCCCTTGTATCTGGTGAAGCGCAATAAAACGAGGTGTGCCTGTATTTTCGATGGTTAGAAATCCAATTTAAGCAGCGACGGAAAAGAAGACAAGGAAAATACCTTGGCTCCATAAAGTTAGGTTCACACACAGGTAGACTAGCTTCATGTGTAGCTGGATCCAGGTGCCTCAAAACTATGGCCAGGTTTCTCCATCTCTCAACCCCATCCACTAGTCCTGGGTCTCTTTGGGCCATCAAAGCCCAGATGTGTTCTGATTAATGTTTGGGAAGAACCCATCTGTGTAGGGGAAATGACCAGAGAGTTTTGGGTGAGACAGAGAGTCCTTGCCTTCTGGGAGGGAGTGGGGAGTTGTCGGTGGGACTTAGGGTACAGTTAGGTGCTGATGGGAGATGGGGGTGGCCCGCGTGAGCTGGAGACCCACTATTAAGATTTGTTTTCCCTCTCGCCCAGCCGAGAAGGACCTGGATGAGGCTTACCTGAAGCGCTCGCACCTGACAGAGATGCCCCGTGGGACGTTGCCCTTGCACGCGCTGCGGCGCCCCGGCACAGGTGGCGGCTACCGCCTGGACGGCTGGGGCAGCCCCGAGGAGCTGAGTCTGGCTCCAGCACCCAACCCGCGGCGGGTCATGTCCCAGGAGCACCTACTGGGCGACGGAGGCCGAGGCTCGCGCTACGAGTTCACACTGCCGCGCGCGCGCCTGGTGTCACAGGAGCACCTGGTGTTGTCCTCACCCGAGGCACTGCGCCAGAGCCGCGAGCACCTGCTGTCACCACCGCGCAGTCCCGCACTGCCCCCGGAGCCGACCGCCCGGGCCAGCCTGGCCGCCTCTCACTCCAACCTGTTGCTGGGTCCCGGGGGGCCCCCTACACCCCTGCACGGGCTGCCGCCCCCGCCCGGCCTGCATGCCCATCACCACCACCACGGCCTGCACGGGTCGCCGCAGCCCGCCTGGATGGCGGACGCGGGCGGGGGTGGCGGCACGCTGGCTCGCAGGCCCCCCTTCCAGCGCCAGGGCACCTTGGAGCAGCTGCAGTTCATCCCAGGCCACCACCTGCCCCAGCACCTGCGCACTGCCAGCAAGAACGAGGTGACTGTCTGAGGCCGGGGCCTCCCAGGCCCCCAGCCCAGCCGGGATCCTCCAAAACAGACTCAGGGGCCTGGTACCCTCATGGGTGGAGGGGCCGGTGGAGGGGCCGCCTCTGACGACACTTTGATGGAATTGGCACCAGAGATGGTGCCTCCTTCCGGGAGATGGCGGAAGAGCAGATCTGGCCTCCTTTTACATCGGTGTTTGAGGTGGGGCCTCATTCCCATGACGTCATCACAGAGGAAGCTGCCCGCCTGTGAGGTCATCACTAGAAAAAGATCTGTGTTCTGTGACGTCATTACAGAGAGAGCTGCCTATCTGTGAGGTGATCACCAGAGAAAATGCCTGTGTTCTGTGAAGTAATCACAAATACTTCCTCCCTGTGATGTCACGGCAGCAGCAATGCCTTGCCCTGTGACATCGTTGCCAGAAAGACAGATTCCTTCCTTCCTGTGACGTCACTGCAGAGACAAGTCCCGCCCTATGACATCATCTCTAGCCACAAGGCCTCTTTTTTGCATCATCACCATCATCACAGGGACAATATTTTCTTCTTGTGTCTTCACTACAGAGAAGATGCCTGTACCCTATGTTGTCATCGCGACAGCAAAGCCATTTTCCGGTGACACGTCAAAGGGGGAAATGCCTCACCTAATGCGTCCCCACAGAAGAGTGATGCCTTCCTTCCAGGACAGCGTCACGGGGACTCTGTCTCCTTCCTGCAATGCCATCACCAGAGAAGGTGCCTTGCCCTGTGGTATCATCAAGGGACCATGCCTCTTCCTGTGATGTCATCACCAGAGATGGCAACCTGCTTCCGGGACATCTCCAGGATGAGGCACCTGCTTCGACATCACCACCAGATTCTACCCCAAGACACTGTTCCCACTGCTGTGTCATGAGGAGGCTGGGCATGACCACAGTCCATGACTACCCTAGAATGTCACTGCAGGAAGTGCCCTGCTCAGAGGTCATCACTGGGGAGGCTGCCCCATTCAGAGGGTCTTCTGCCAGTGATGATGGTCTGTCTGCAGGTTCTTGGTGGTAATACCCCTCCTTCTGAGACTCTGCCCCAGTGGCATCCTCAGAGTCCCCTTCCCAGAAACAATGCCCATTCTGGAAGGTCATCATTAGTGATGGCATCACCCGAGTTCCTGCCTTGTTTCACCATGACTTAAATCGGTCCCTTCCTTCCCAACACCAGGGATGTGCTTCCACAGAATATCCTCTAGATCTTGTGGTGGCAGTTGCTCCCTGCATCCTGCCCCTGTGCAGTCACATCATTTCCTGCTGTGGCTCCCGGAGGAACTCCCAGAATGGTGGTGGTTCTTTAGGAAGTCACTCTGCCTCACCAGGCTGGTTGAGTCCTAGCGCTGGGATTTATGGGTGGTCCAAAATCTGGAATCATTTCTTTATGCCATATTTAGAGACATCATCACCTTTTCCAACAAAGTCCTGGCCTCTTATTAGGGGCACTTAGGGGGTGCCTACTATTGGTCTTGTTGACATCATCAGCACCACAAGACTTCCACTACTCATGATATCTCACCTGGGGTCAAATGCTAACCATGGCTGATGATGGCTTCATTTCCCAGGCTTCCCTGTGACCAATGGCATCGCTGTCACCACAACTATGTATCATACTCTCGCAGGATTTACCATGACTATTAGCACCATCATCTCCAAAGATTCTCACAGCCATCAGTGTCACCTCTTCCATGATGCCTCCAATCATGGCATTATCTCCCAGGATTCTCTGTGACTAATAGTGACATAATCTCCCAGGACCCACCACAACCACTGTATCATCATCTCTCATGATCCACCATGATCATGATGTCCGAAACTTTCAGAATCCTTATGCTAAATGGTGATCTCTTCTATCAGAATACACTAGGACCATGATGCCACAATTTCCCATAATTCCCATAAGTGTGAATTCACCATATTGCAAGAGCCACACAACATGGTGTCACCATCTCCAGGATCCATAAGAGTCATGGCGTCTTCATTTCCCAGGATCGATGCGAACCAGTGATGCCATCATCTCCAGGATCCACTTCAGTCCTGATGTTTTCACCTCCCAGGATCCATTTCAGCCATGGGATCTCCCAGGATCAATGAAAGCTAATGATGTCATCATCTCCTAGGATCCCTGTGAGCCAATGATGTCATCATCTTCCAAACCACTTCCACTATGGTGCCCTCACATCCCAGCATCCATTTCAACTATAGTTTCATCATCTCCCAGGGTCCCTGAGAGCCAATGGTATCATCATCTCCATGGGTCACTTCCACCATGATGTCATCACCTCCCAGGATCCATGAGAGCCAGTGGTACCATCTTCTCTTAGGACCCACTTCAACCATGATGTCATCACCTCTCAGAATTCCTGAGAGCCAATGGTACCATCATCTCCAGGGTCCACTTCAACCATGATGTTATCATCTCCCAGGATCCCTGAGAGCCAATGGTACCATCATCTCCAGGGTTTACTTCAACTATGATGTTATCACCTCCCAGGATCCATGAAAGCCAATGGTATCATCATCTCTAGGGTCCACTTCAATCATGATGTCATCACCTCCCAGGATTCAGGAGAGCCAATGGTACCATCATCTTCCAAGAGCCACTTTCACTATGGTGCCCTCACATCCCAGGATGCACTTCAACCATATTTTCATCACCTCCCAGAATCCATGGGAACTAATGATATCATCATGTGCTAGGATCCCTGAGAGCCATTGATGTCATCATCCTCCAAAATCCACTTCAACAATGGTGCCATCGCATCCCAGCATCCATTTCAAAATTAGTGTCATCATATCCCAGGATCCATGAGAGCTAATAACGTCATCATCATCTCCCAGGAGCCAGGAGAGTCCATCAATATCACAGGATCCACTCCAACCATGGTGTTATTCCCTCTAAAGAGCCACAAGAGTCAATAGGTCATTATCAACAAAGGTACCATCACATTTCAACAATGGTACGATCACATATGAGGATCTACTTCGACCATAGTCTTATCTTTTCCCAAGATATGAGAGCCAATGGTGTCATCATCTCCCAGCATCCACTTCAACCATGATGTCATCACTTCCCAGGATCCACTGCAGCCCTGGTGTCATCATCTCTAAGGATCCATGAGAGTCGATATCATCATCATTTCCCAGGATCCACTACAACCATATACCATCATTCTCCAGGATCCATCATCTTTAGTAGCCAAATACTACAACAGCTGTGTTTCCATTGTCTTCTGGGGTCATATGGTACTTAACAGTTGTTTCCATCAAGGGAACCAGCACAACACACCATTTTCCCCAGCCCCCCAAAGTTGAGTGAGGTGGGAAAACCTCGCTCCTCCTCTAATGACATCATCGCTACTCTGACCCTTCTTGACGATGTCATTGCCTCACATCTGACTTAGATTGATGCCTGGATCAACCCCTCCATGGCCTTGGCCTTGGCCTTGGCCAGCTTCCCATCACCCCCTTGGTGGGGGGCATCCAAGCCCCTCCCAATAACATCACTGCCCCTCACCCAATCATGTGATCTGATCGGTGACAGGGTCAACACAGTGACCTCTTATCACCACCAGCGGTGAGGCTGTCCATCCCTCCAGTGGCATCACTGCCCCTTGCCCAGTTCCTGCCATGGGGACCCACTGGCTGGGACCAAACTCTCCTAGAGATATCTGACCCATGTTGGATGGGCTATTAACTGATGACCTTCTTGGAGCCTTCACTCATGTCTGCTGGCCTGGTTCTAGTGCAAGCACACCCCGAGAGTAGCGGTCACTGCCAGAGCCATCTGCAGGGGGCTATCTGAGCTGTCCAGAATTGGTGGAAAAGTGTTCCCTCCTTCATCTCTTTCCCTAACACACTGGGGAGCCTCCAGGGGCTTGGGGATCCCCCAACGCCCAATGCACAATTGGCCCCCAATCCTCTTTGTACATAGCCATGTTGTGGGGGCGGCCATTCCCCCACTCTTAAAGGGCTACACGCCCCCTCCCCCAGCCCCCAGGGCGAGGTGGGGGGGGCCTCTTCTCCCTCCCCTGGGCCGTCCTCTTCCCTCTTATGTCTCCCCCAAATACTGACATCTCAGCTCATCCCCTCTTACCAGGAGACTGGGGCAGATAACTAGCCCTTGTTTCTTCCCACCACACTGAGGGAACTGGGGGGTTACCCCCAATCTGCTTCAGCCCTGATGTCAATTTTTCTACCCCATGCTTATAGCTGTTATGATGGGGTGCCCCAATCCCTTCTAGGGTCTCCCAAGCCCAGCGCCATCAGCAGACTGTGATTTCCCCAAAGATGAGCTGGTTGGAGTGCCTGTCCCTCTCCAGACCCCTTCCCTCTGCTCACCACCTTCATGAAGCACTCAGCTTTCTCCAGTGCCACCCTCACTCCCCGCCCTCCCTCCCCCAAACCAGGATTTGGAGGCACTGGGTCTTTCAGTGGTGGCAAAGTGGTTAAGTGCTCAGTTGTGCTAACCAAAGCCGCTCCACGGGAGAAAGATGTGGCAGTCTGCTTCCGTAAAGATCACAGCCTTGGAAACACTATGGGTTCTGTTCTGTTCTGTCCTATAGGGCCACTGTGAGTCAGAATTGATGCCTGGAGTTAGCCGGGTTTGGGGTCTTTTAGCTTTTGTATGCTTTCCTCATCTTGCTCTCTCCTGGTCTGGCTTCCGGGGATCTTCAGCCCCGTTCACTCGTCCACAGGCTGCCTGACCTCGTCTCAAATAAGCCATAGTGGGGAGAGGTCTTCAGTGGGCAAGGGAGTGGGGTGTTTCTCCCAGCTCCCCCTGGATGTTTCTGGAGCTGGGACCTCACTAACTGAAGCTTTCCTCACTCCTCACCTCGACCTAACCTGTAACAAACATGTGTGTGCATTCCTACACATATACACGCACCTCCCCTTGGCTGTTCTGGTGAGGGGGCTTAGGGGGCTGTGCAGACAGATTAGCAGGTCTGAACCGGAAGACCCTTCTCCTCCTCTCCTCAAAA